GGCTGGTTTGCATCTTTCCATAGATGTTATTCCAGGCAGTGAGCCCTCTGGGTTCCTGGGAGCTGTGCAGCACAGGGAAGGTAACCAGCACCAGGGAGTCTCCCAATTCCTCCACCCTCCCTGCTAACAGCAAAGGTGATGGAGGGAAGCCATGGGTGGAGGTTGGTTACAGCTCACTTATCACAGGTAGAAATAATTTGTGTAAGGGCAAAACTGGAGCCTGGCAGCTGGGATGTGGGGCTGTACTTGGAGGAATGGCATAAAATCTCCATCTGGTTTAGAGTCTGGAAAACCTAAAGGAGAGGAGCACACCGAGAGGGAGGTGACAATGTGTCCCTGTGCCTGACACTACCGTTCCTAAGGACGTTTGTCTGTTCCATCTCACTTTCTGGCTCTATTTTGGTTTAGATCCTGATGCTTTAGTGGGTATTTTAGTGGGTGCTATGTGTAATTTAGTGGGTGCTAGCTGGAGCAAGCTGAGCCCTTAGTGGGTGTTACCTGGAGCAGGATGGTTGGTCTTGGCTCCTCCTGCGAGGAGAGCTCTGGAGGGACTCGTGCTTCAGGCTCCTGTCTTGGGGGTGTCCTCCCAGCACTGCTCTCCAGGTTTCTCCTCCTCAGGAACTCCCTTTGCCGAGGGCTCTGAGGTGACTCCTCCGTTCCCCTCGGGAGGCGGCGGCAGATGGTCACGTTGTTCCTCCGCCGCAGGTTTTCCCTCGTCTCGTGTCGCCGCTCACACTTCTCATCGTAGCTCTCGCTCCAACGCCTGTGCTGCTGCTGTGTCCTCTTGGGCTGGCTGATCATGCTGGGCTCTGACCACCTTGGCCTTTGTGGGGTGCTCTGTGCTGGGGAAACCAAGGGAGAAGACATAACTTGAGTGATTGGTTGCTTAGCTTTTTCTTTAACTGGTGTAGAGGCAAAGTATTATAGTATGATAGTATCATATTAGGAAGAAGTTTTTCCCTGTGAGGGTGGTGAGACACTGGCACAGGTTGCCCAAGGAGGCTGTGGCTGCCCCAACCCTGGCAGGGTTCAATGAAGCCTTGAGCAACCTGCTCTGGTGGGAGGTGTCCCTGCCCAGGGCAGGAGGTTGGGCCTGGATGCTCTCTAAGGTCCATTCCAGTCCCTTAACATGCTGTGATACTATTTCTAAGTTTAACCCAATATGAGATATTGGACAGCAACTCTGGATCCTCATGCAATGGATGTAAGCAGTGTTCCTGAATAAATCCATTGCCCATGAAGTCTAAAACAATCCGTGCTGGTCTTGCTCTGTTGGATGGTTGCTGACCTGGCATTAGCTAAGCTCTGACTTTCCTTCATCACACATATAAATTTAGTGATTCATCATTACCCTTTAGGATTAATTAATTGTTAAGCTGTGCTCAACAACCAGGGGCACAGGCTCTGTTTGCCTCGGGCAGGAATTCTGTCCCCAATTCTGGGGAATTTGTGGCCCAAAACAGACACTGACCTGGCTAAAGGAGGAACTCCTCCATTCCAGCACTGTTATACCATCTCTGTGTGCACAGGGTGTAGGTATGGAACCTCCTCCCTTCTGATGACTTTTTTGCACGGTTGTAAGTCACCACTGCAATTGTTCATTACTGGACTTTGGTCATAATGAGTGTATTTGAGGTTTTGCCTCTGCATCAATTAAAGCTGAGCAAGAACTACCCACAACTGTTCTTCCTTTGTCCACAGTGACAGCTGTGTCCCCCTCTCCTGTCCCCTGGCCCCATCAGCAGTGACAGAGCTTGTCATCCCTCTCCACATCCCACAGATGATGCTCAGAGTCCTATCCCTGGGAGCTTCTGTGGCTCCTTGGCTGCTGTGGCTGTGCCTGGTGTGAGGCTTTTATTGTATTTAGTAAATCATGTTAATGTAGAAAGGAAGGGAAAATAAGGCATTTTAGTCTTGAAAATTCAGGCTAAATGTTCTTCATTTGTGTGAAACAAAACCACCGAGAGTTCCTTGGTTTCAATCTGTCTGAAACAATTAGGAAGCTATTGAATCTAATAGAAGGAAAAAATGGGAACAAGTAAGTCCATTTACATGTAAAATACTTCCGTGCTTTTCGGTCTGTGTTATAATCTGCTCTGGAATCCTTTCTGTCCTTGTGTTAGCTGTGGAATGCTCAAAGCTCATTCCTAGTGCCATCTTTCACTGTAGGAGCTTCCTTTGGAAGGAAAGTGGCATTTTTGGGGTGGTCAGCTCTTGCCCTGGGTAGGGAAGGTGCCTTCAAGCTCCTGCCCAGGACACTGCTTCAAATGCTGAGTGTTTCTCTACTAATTTTGCTGACACTTGGGAATGGCCCAATTGTGTGTCCTGCTCAGTTTTGACTCATCCATCTCTTCCCATCAGGAATAGCTCAGCCCTTCTCCCACCTGCACTGCCTCTGGCCTGCCCTGGGCTGTAATAACCTCAGTTAACCAAAAATGCACTTTAAAACAAGGTAAAGCTTAAAGAAAGACACAGTCCATTACTCACCCCGAGCTGAGCAAACTGTTGAGGCCTTCTTGAGAAGCTAACACACTATTTCCTCCTCCTGTTACCCCAAATTACCCTCTCTAATTAAACATGTCCTTTATCTTTGCTTTCCAAGCTGTTACACTTCTTGCTTCAAGGGAAACCAGGAAAAAAAAAAGTGCTTCTTGCTGGTTCATGTTACAGCCTCTCAGTGCAAACAGTGTAGGCTGAAAAGTGGGGTGAAAAGAGAGGGGGAAAAAGGTGGATGTTGCTGCTTTTAGCCTCTGCTCCCTCCAGTCCTCAGCAGCCCCAGCACTTTGGGCACTCCAGCACTTACCTGACCCGAGGAGTTCCAGTCCTCACCAGCCCCAGCACTTTGGACACTCCAGCACTTACCTGACCCGAGGAGTCTTGTCCTACCCCTCGACTGCTGTGCAGGAGAGCCACGTTATCAGGCATGAACACGCTCCAACTGCCATCTTCATGCCAACCACCTCATTTTGCTGCTCTCACTCTCTTTTTTCACTCTGTAAAACAGGAAACGTTGCAGCTGCAGCCGAGCCCTGGTTCCTGTCTCCGCTGGCAGCCCCAGTGCAGGGGCCAGGCTCACAGGGAATTGGGTTATCTTGGGAGCCCAAAGTCTCCAGCTTCTCTCTAAGCAGACCTTGCAATTATCTTTTGGGACATCTCCCTTTGCTGGTCTCCAACACGTGGAGGTTGAGTGCTGGTTCATGGAACTGCTTGTGACACTCAGTGACTGAGTTTCTCCAAGCTGCTTTGGGCTAGAGAAATCCAGACTTAGGGAAGTACAGTAATGCTATTATTTGAAGGCTTCTTGTGGGTTGGAAAGAGGGGGAGAAAAATAAAAAAAAGTGTGTTTTGGCAGCTGAGTGGAGGTCAAGAATGGCAGAAATTCATTAAGGTCTTTAGAGAAGTGAAAGCTGTGTTGATGCAAATCGTGCAGGAGGTGGGTTTAGCCAGCTGGGTGCTGATAAGAGCTCTGTGGCCTGATAAGAGCTCCCTGCTTGGGCACGTGGAAAGGGAACACAAGGAAACACAGATCTCAAAGTTACCACAGAGTTTATTTTTACAAAGACCAGCCTGTAAGGGATATATGGCAACAAACTTCCCGGTTCAAAGACCCTCTTGTGGCTTTGGGTGGTTTGTGCTGCTGGGGCTCAGCTCGTGTCCTGCAGGGCTCAGCACCACTGCCTTGGTGGCTTTCTGTGGAGGAAGAGTTTCTGGAGGCTGAGCAGGAAACTTGCTGGTGAGCAGGACATTGTGGCAGGGGATTCTACTGCAGGACCTTCTCTGAAGTGCCTCTTGGTGGGGAAAAAAGCAAGTTGCAAGAGTTCACTACTCAATAGGATGTTTTCAAGCTGGATTACAGACTTCTGGAGCATCCCATCTCTGCTTGCCAAGGCACATCAGCATGAGGCTGCCCCGGTGGTGTGGAAAGGGTAGCCAAGCAGCTAGGTCAACACCCAAATCCTTTGTGCCTGGCTCAAGATGTCCCAGCACACTTGCTCTCCTGGGGACTATCTTCTTCTGAGGTTTTCCACGTTATAGCTGCTCCTGACTGTGGAATCAAGGAATTCAGGGGCTATGCTCCGGAGGAGGACCATGCTGCTCAACAGCCCAGAGGGGTAGTACAGTTCCCTCTGGCGCAGCACTCCACTCTTGATGATCTCCAGTGCACACTCCTCCTTCGGCGCTGGCGTGTCCCGGATGACATGGGAAATGGCTTGCACAGCATTCTCTGGAAGGGTGGGAGGACAGGGAGAGGAGTGGCATCAGATGGAGGGGCTGCCACAGGCACTAGCAGTTCAAGGTGTTCAAACTGACAAACTGTGGGCATCAGCCCAAGAGTTAGAACAGTTAAGTTACACTAATGTCTTTCTCATTCTTCCTTTCCACCCCCTGAATGACATAAGGTGGAATCCCTACATCCTCTGGGTTGACTCTGAGGATAGCAGAGTAAAAGGTCTCAGGCCACACTTTTTATGGGGTCCTGTTTCCAGAGTTGCACAGACCCTGCAGGCAGGGGGTCCAGCAGTGGTGGTGAAGCAAACTGGAGCCAGAGGATGGGTGATGGGCTCAGCTTGGCTCTGCCTGGAAAGAGACTGAATCATGTGGCCCTAGTGGTGCTGAGCTTACCTGTGTTGATGTAGCCCAGGACACAGAGTGTGATGGAGACATTGACCTTGTCCATGACGAATTCCTGGCGCAAGGAGCTGAAAAATCCATCTAAGGCAAACTTAGTTGCGGCATAAGGAGCAATAAATGGGACACCAGTTTTACCTGGGAGCAGAAACACAACATTGGGGTTCATGTACTGGGCAGGCACCAGGTTGCACAGCTCTCCCTTCCTCTTGCCCTTCAAGAAGCTACAATATTGTGATTTAGGGTGATGGAGAAAGCTGTCATGAATGCTTGAAGGAAAGAAACAAATGTAGGGATGTTTAAAATGTAACATATGGCATGAAGTACCTGCCCTTGTGGGCGATGCTGTTCTTGTATTCCTGCAGAGATACCCACATATAACAAATACATGTGTGATATTGAGGCCATGCATGTACAGTAACCTGCAGTGCAACATGTGAAGGTGACTAGTGGGTGCAAAGAGATGAGCAGGACAGAGTAGAAACTATAAATCTCACAGAGGACTTGAATGATGCAGCCAGGACCTAAATCATATGCTGACCCTGACTCCCAGCAGGATGGCTCTCTGCCTTATGGTTCTTCTTCTGTCTTTTGTAGAAGACTCACAGTAGGGATCCCTTGTGTGCTCACCTGCCATGGATGAAACCACCACGATGTTGCCCTCACTCTCCTTCAGCATGGGCAGGGCAGATGTGGCCATGGCCACGTAGCTGAGGAAGTTGATCTGCATGAGTATTCGTACTTGCTCAACATTCCCATTGAAGAAGTTGAAGTCAAAGTAACTGACATGATTTAGGATGAGCATATCGAGGCCACCTGGAAGCAGAGCACGTTTGCATTAGCAACCAGCATGTCTGAAGAAAGCAACTTCTTTGATGGCCCCCAAAGTGTAGCAGCTCAGGATGTGTTGGGGAGTTAGAAGGGGTTACCACCTACCCCAGGTGTTCTCAGCCTCCTCCACCACCCTGTAGGGGAATGTGGTGTCCTCCATAGAGCCACTGATGTAGTGAGCAGAGGCAGCACCCAGCTCGAGGCATCGCTCCACAACCTGCAGGGACAGCCAGAAGGGTGTTGGCATGGACTCCCCTCCATGGAGCAACCCCAACCCAGGCTGTTACTGTCTTGGGGGAGTTGGGTAGTGTATCTCCCTGGAAATCCTCCCTCCTCCCTTCATGTGATGCTCAAAAAAATGTTTGTCTGCAGAGTTGAATGATAGAACATCTGAGCTAATTATTTAGCATTTATAGAGACATGATTGCTTCATTTTAGTATTTTGATTCTCTTGTGTACAGAATGTATACATCGTATACAGAATGCAAAACCAATTCAGGGTAAGGGTTGATCAGATCAGGACTTGGGTAGTGTGGTGCTGGAGGTCAGAATTCACAGCTGAAGGCTGTAGGGAAGGAAATGCCATGCTGTCAGCATTGAAAATGCAACTTGTGGTGGGATGTGTGTTAGAACAGGCTCATACTGGGGGAACACTGGGGTGGATCTGTAGGGTATCTGGTATTCCTGTGTGCCTGGGCTGGGGTGAATATCTGCATCCAGCCCAGTGTGCTCTGCTTGCCATTTACTTTCTGCAGCTTGGCCTCAGTCCGTGCTGTGAGCAGTAGGTGTGCCTCCATGCGTGCCAGGTGATATGCCATCTGCTCCCCAATGCCACTGCTGGCTCCTGTCACGATCACCCGTTTCCCCCGGAGCATCTCTGGAGAAGAGGGCACAGAGCTCAGAGCCAGCACAGCCCACATTGTCCCTCTGCACATGGGCACTGTGGGCTCCTCTCTGCTCTGCTGCCCTTCACCTTTGGGTGCCAGGGGCAGCAGCACAGCCCCACTGCAGTGTTCTCCCCTCCCTCCCCACCCCAGACCACCACTGGTGTCCGGTCCTTAATCCCAGTTGGGTGGGGAACATGTACAAGGCTCCAGCCCTGCACCCAGCCTGGTCTGGGAACAGTGAGAGTTGGTTAATAAAAGGATTAAATGTTTAAAGTGGAAACCTGCATGTTTCCTAAATAAGTCATTTACAGAGGTCAGACACTCTGTGTCCCAGCAGAGTTTTTCCTGTGCTCTGACCCCTTGTACTGGGACCTGCCTGCTCTCCCCTCCCCTCCCAGCCCTCCTATGCTTTGGCTTCTCTGACCACACTCTGAAAAGCCCTTCAAGTGCTCCTCTGTGTGGCACATGCTGCCAGCAGCCTCAGTGTGGTTGGAAAGAGAAAAAACTGAAATTCTTAGGTGCTGAATAAAAATGAAAGGCCAGTGCTGCTCCCAGCAAGGGGATTAAAATCTTCAGGAGCAAACCCATCCTTCTGCAGAAGTACAGGCAGGAGCAAGACAAACCACACAGCTCAGACCACAAGGAGTTGGAGGTGTCTGTAGGTTGCAAATGGGGCTTGGAAGTTTTGAGCTGGTTCTTATCTTACCCAAGTTTGCTGGTATCTGTTGGACCTTTTCTTTGTGCTGCCAGTGATTTAGCAAACATTAACTTAATGAAGTGTGTGGCTTTGGACTTTAAGCTGTCCCTTTGCACCCTTGGCCTGCCAGGAATTTCAGGTGTGCTTTTTGAGAGCATTGAAGGGAAGGCACTGAAAGATTTCTAGCTCTGTAGAGTGATGAGAAGGTTGTTTGGGGCTGGGACACTCATATCCACTCAGAGCAGACCTGCAAGGGATAGCTGGACATTCTCTCTCCATTCCACATCTAAAACAGAAACAATTCTTCCCTTCCTCACTGGCTGCCTCAAGGATTTATGGATCAGCAGTAGCACTGTGGTACAGGTTGATATGAGTATCTAAGAGAGAGCAGCACTGGCAAAGTTTGTGTTTTTCAACCATTATTGGTGTTTCTGGCTTATGATACCATCACTGGTATAATGCTGATTGTTGGTTGACTCTTACACCTAAAGAATTTACACTCTTGAGGATTCCATTGATTGTAAAAGGCAGTAAAAGAGCCAAGTGAGTGAATAAAAGATCTTCAGCTTTCTCAGCACTGTGTGTCACACTGTTCAGCATCTGCCTGGGCATATGGCAAATGAGCTTGCAAGTCTTTTTCTGAAAGAGAAACCTTGAAGGCCAAAACCCACTCTGCATGTGCTGGTTTGTGTAGGAGGATAAAAGGAAGAGAAATGCCAGTTCCTGATTTCCTTTAGAGCAACAAAGCAGTCCTGAGGAATGCTTCAATGAGAAGGGTTTGGCAGGTTTTGTCTCAGGAGAGGTAAAAGTTGGTGCTGGAATGGCCAGAACCATGGTAGGTCTATGAAGTTGGGAAAGTGGTGCAGAGCTGTAGGTGTCAGGTCTTCAGGCTGTGGTCTTGGGTTTGTGTTCAGCATGTGATGCTCCCACTGCCCCACACCTAGAAGGGAGTTTCCAGTTATAATTTTTGTGTAAGTGACTGCCAAGTTTGGAAAGTTTTGCTTGAAGTAAAGACTTGCATTTAATGGATAATGGGGGTGAGAATGGCTTTAACCTGAAGGAGTGTAGATTTAGATGGGATAACAGGAAAAATTCTTCCCTGTGATGATGCTGAGACACTGGCACAGGTTGCCCAGAGAAGCTGTAGCTGTCCCATCCCTGGAAGTGTTCCAGGCCAGGTTGGATGGGGCTTGGAGCAACCTGGGCTGGTGGGAGGTGTCCCTACCCATGGCAGGGGGTGGGATGAGATGAGCTTTAAGTTTCCTTCCACCCCAAATTAGCCTGCAATTCTATAGTTGCATGATTCTATTAATTTGACCATTAACAAAATAGGCTAAAGGACATTCATTCCCAAACTGAAATAATGAAGGATTCTTTCTAGGAATCAACTTCCCTGTGAAAGCTGAGTCAGTGGAACTGTGCCCATTTTATAGAATCAACCAGGTTGGAAGAGACCTCAAAGATCGTTGAGTCCAACCCTACCATGGTACTAAGTGCCACATCCAGTCTCAGCTTGAAAACCTCCAGGGATGGTGAATCCACCACCTCCTTGGGCAGCACATTCCAATGCCTGAGCACTCTCTCCCTAAAAATCTCTTCCTAATCTCCAACCTAACCCTCCCCTGGCAGAGCTTGAGTCTGTGCCCTCTTGTCCTGCTGCTGGTTGCCTGGGAGAAGAGACCAACCCCCACCTGACTCCAACCTCCTCTCAGGGAGTTGCAGAGGGTGAGAAGGTCACCCCTGAGCCTCCTCCAGGAGGAGCAGAGGGGAACAGGAACCAGGATTCAAGGTGTGTCCTCCCCAGCACCGAGTCCAGGGTCAGCATCACCTCCCTGCTCCTGCTGACCACACTGTCCCTAATCCAAGCCAGGATGCCTAAAGCTGAGAAAAGTGCTAAAAACTCCCACGCAGCGCACACTAACCATGGGATTAGTACATTTTATTGAATAACTACTTTGCTCCTCCTTTCCCACGGCTCCGACCCGTTGGGGAACGAGTCGCTGCGGGAACCTCCTCATCCCTCCGGGTGCCGCCAGCTCCTCGCGAACCAAGCGGGGGAGCTGCGATGTCTGTGTCGGGAGGGGAG